CTCCTTCCCCTGGCAGATGGGCGATGGGGTACTCTGAGTGCAAGCAGTGGGTGGTGAAGGACTGGTGAGGGGAGGGCTTTCATGCCCACCCTTCCCAGCACAGGATGGTCCTGCCTCCTCAGGGCACCTCCCTGCTTCTGCCCTGTCTCCAGAGCCACGCCCCGCCATGCATGTGAAGGCAGCCTCCTGTGACTGCCTTCTTCTGTTACACAATACAGCATCACGACCATTAACATATTAGCTCTTTATTATTATGATAATAATAAAAGCATAATATGTAAATTAGACCAAACGTCCTTCTAGATGAAGTTGCGATGGTGGGGGCTAATGCAGCCATGGTGGGGGCTGAGCCCCTTGCATGAAGTTTATGCATAGGGCCTCTAGTATAGATAATAAAAGGGTAATAGGCAAATCAACTGAACAGTGGAAAGACCAGTCACTATGAAGAGCACTGACCACCAGGGGGCAGATGCGCAATGCAGGAGCTGCCCCTTCGTGGTCAGTGTGCTCCCACAAGGGGAGTGCTGCTCAGCCACAGGCTAATGGCTGGCGAGCACAGCAGCAGTAATGGGAGCTTCTCCCAACTCCACGGCAGTACTAAGGATATCTGGTGCAGCCTAAACCATCAGTCGGTTATCCCCCAAGGGCTCCCAAACTGCTAAAGGGTGCAGGACTGGCTGAGGGAACTCCACCCCCACCCTCACCCCCTGCCAAGTGCATGAATGTCATGCACCAGGCCTCTAGTCTTATTATAAATGAATATAATCACAATATTGAACTCAGTATATCCTATCTAATCAATATGAAATAGATTCATGTGATATTTTACATTCAATTTGTACTAAGTCTTCTGAATCCAGTCTGTATTTTATACTTACAAACCTCTCAATTTGAATTTAAGTGGCTAATCACTGATACTAGGCAGTGCAGTTCTGGCTAGCTAACACTAGTTGCATTTTTTTCTACGTGCTATGTGCTATACCTGCAGTCTCTCAATTTCTTCTCACAACTCTGCAGTTGATACTACTGTACTCATTTTACAGGTGAGCAAACTGAGACTTCAAGAGCTCAGGTTATTTGCCTGATGACAGATATTGGGCTAGGTGGACTTGGGCCCGGGCAATAGGGCTTTAACTTCAAAACAATGTTCTACATTAAAATGAAAACCATCAGAAGAGGCCGTGTCTCCGATTTTGGAGACATTTATGGGAAAATACTGAAGATTAGACACAGGGGTGGAGGCGGGTTAGCAGCCGGTCACGAGGTGTCTGGAAACATGTTTGAAAGGAGAAAAAAACATTTTGAAGCAAAATGTGGGGGGAAAGATCACCATTAATTTACCCATGAAGACACTACCACCCATACCCCCTCAGAGTACATTTCTTCCCTGTCCTGGTGTGTGTTTAGCAACCATTCAATTGCAATATTCTTAGGCTGAATTCTCTTCCTTCCACTTTAAATGCCCATCTGCTACACAAAGTTTGGATAAAACTATATGCTATGGTGACTGGTCTGAATTAAGACCAGAGTCTCTGAACAACCCCGGTGCCATGGAGGTCTGTAAAGTATTATCCTCGTGTCATGGCGTGTGCACATGTGCACAGATGGCAGTTTCCTCTTTCTTCCTTCACACAAGGTTAAAAATGAGTAAAATAGATTTCTCATTGCACTTCCCTTGTGCTTGGGGACTCAATGAACTCATTTTAAGCTCCCACGTCTTTATAAAAATATTTTGTTTTTACTGAAATATGTTTTTGATCAAGAACATAATTTCATGGTTGCGTGTATGTTTCTGAAACAAATATGTATATGAAACAAGTGCACAGAGGAGGGGCTCTGCGATCCATTCCAGGACTGGATTGTTGAGTCTAACCTCTAGACTGTCTTAAGAGAAGGAAGCAACTTTTGTCCACACTAATCAATGTCCTATTCTGTTACATGCTCTCATTTTTGGATTTGAAGAACTGGAAATGCAATTGACCAGTTTAATCATCATGGGATGTCAATCTTCAGACAAACCCTAAGCTGCATTAATTCTTTATTACACTTTTGAATGTTTAGCTTATTTTTTCAGATATATTATCTAAATATTGATATATATGGTCTTTCTTACCTGCTGTTATCCTGCAGACTAAATTGTTTGAAGCAGGTAGAAGATATCCCCATAATACAGTTAAACCAGCACTAATAACAATCAATTATATTTAAGAAACACTTATTAGACTTTTTGTAAACTGCTTTACACACATCTCATTTAATTCTAATGACAGGAGGGGTAGGCATTGTCTTCGTTTTATAAATGAGCACACCAGCTTGTCTAAGTGTCTAACCAGCACTTGAATTAAGGTGAGTCTCATTCCACCACTGCTTGTAATGAGACTGCCTCAGATAATTACAATACTTTGTTATTACAATACTGTGCCAAACTTATAGGAAGAATTTTTGGTAGCCTCATAATTAATGGTGGAATATACACAATAGAAGATTACTTAGCAATAAAAGAGAATGATATCTTGCCATTTACAACAACATGGATGGACCTGGATGGTATTATGCTATAAAATAAGTCAGACAGAAAAAGATAAATACCATATGATTTTGCTTATATATATGGAATCTATAAAACCAAAACAAATGAATAAACAAAACAAAACTGAAACAGACCCATAGATATAGAGAATAAGGTGGTGGTTGTCAAAGGGGAGGGTGGTGAGTGATGAGTTTAATAATAAATAAATAAATAAATAAATAAATAAATAAATAAATATTTTAAAGGAGAAATAATCATGGCAAATGTCTCCACTGAGGGAGGGCAGAGGCAATATCATCCTATATAATAAAAGGCTAATATGCAAATAGATTGAAGGGTAGAACAACCAAACCAAACAACCAGTTGCTATGATGTGCACTAACCACCAGGGAGCACATGGGCTGCAGCAAGATGGTGAAGCAGGTGAGCAGGGGGGCCACCAGACCAAGGCAGGGCACTGGTAGCTATCATCATGGCGAGCCTCTGGTAGTTACTCAAAATTACTTGCTCATGCACGTTGCAGTCCTACCTGGTGCTTGCACTTGCTGCCTGCCTCATAGCTGCTGCTCACACCTGCTGCTGGTGCCAGCCCCAATTTATCTGCAACATCAGCAGGTGCCAGTGGGGTAGGCGCCATCATCACATGGAAGCAGTGGCAGCAAAATCAGCGGCAGTGGGAGCAATGGGAGGGGGGCTGCCAGCAGACAGGGGACCAGGAGCTGTGGCAGGAAGGGTGAGGCAGGGTACAGAGGGTGGGCTGAGACCCATGCCTGTGCCCACTGCAACCTTGCATCTCACAGTTCCTTTCAAGTTGTACAAATTCATGCACTGGGCCCCTAGTTATAATAATGATGATGATGTTAAACCAAGTTGATTAAGTATAAAAAAAAGATAGTTGATAAAACACAATTCAATGGCATTTGATACTTTCACAAAGTTGTGCAACTACCAAGTCTATCTAAATTCCAAATGTTGCTATTATTCCAAAGCAAAATCCTACACCCATTAAGCAATTTCTCCCCATTCTTCCACACCTCCAGCCTCTAACAAACACCAATCTGCATTCTGTCTTATGGACTTACCCATTCTGGATATTTCATATAAATAGAACCAGACACCACCTTTTATTTCTGGCTTCTTTTTTAGCATAATGTTTTCAATGTTTATCTACATGGTAGCATGAATCATTCCTTTATATGGCTAAATAATATTCCATTGTATGGATATATTCATCAGAAACAATTGAGCTGTTTCTGTCCTTGCCATTCTCCTATTATAAACATGCATGTACGTGTATTTGTTTGAGTACCTGTTTTCAATTATTTTGGCTATATAGCTAGAAGAGGAATCATGAGAATACATGGTATTTGTATGATTAAGTTTTTGAAGATCTGCCAAACCATTTTTTCCAGCAGGTGAAGCATTTTACATTCCAACCAGCAATGTAAACGAATTCCAGCTTCTCCACATCCTTGCTAACACTTGTTATTTTGTTTTTCATTATTATAACCAGCCTACCATGTGTCAAATGGTACCACATTGTGGGTTTGATTTACATTTTTCTAATAACTACTACTGATGTTGAGCATCTTTTCATGTGCTTGTTGGCTCACCTGTAGATCTTCTGAATAGAAATGTCTATCCAATCCCTTTGTCCATTTTTATTGTTCTGTTTGAATTTTTTAAAATTTAAAACAACATAAATGTATTGTTTCACAGTTGCAGAGGTCCGAAGTCTAAAATGGGTAAGACAGGGTGCATGCCTTCTGGATGGTGCAGTGTTACTGGAAAGGGGACCTGGTCCTTAGCAGATCTTTCTAGAATGGACCAATATTGTGTGGGTTCTTGACTTTGAGCAGGAAAAAAAATTCACAAAAGGAGTCCAGATGAATTTTAGAGGTCATTTATTAAAGCTGGGGACAGTGAAACAAGGAAGGGGGATTAGGTAACAGGAGAGGGATTCGGTGGGGCTGCTTTGAATCACTAAGAAGTCAGAAAAAAGGGGGCTTTGGGAACAGGTTTAGAGGGTTTACTTGGGATGAACTGCCACTTCTCATTGCTTCCCTCTTATTTGACATTTTGTTGTTGAGCTGTAATTTATATATTCTGATACTAGATTTACTAGACTTAATCAGTTATATGATTTGAAAACATTTTCTCTGTTCTTTAGATCGTACAGACTTTCTTGATAATGTCCTATGACACACAAAAGTGTTTAATTTTGATGAAGTCTAGTTTATTTTATCAATTTATCTATTTTTTCCCCTTTTGGTTTGACCTTTCGGTGTCATATCTAAGAATCCATCTCCAAATCCATGAAGATTTTACCCCTTTGTCTTCGTCTAAGAATTTCATGATTATAGCTCTTATAATTAGGTCATTCATTCATTTTGAGTGAATTTTTATACTTGGTGTGAGGTAAGGGTCCTCTTTGCTCCCGTTTACTCTCTTTTTCTTTTTTTCTTCCTAGGAAACCTTGAAAGCAAGGGACTGCATATTTTTAACTTGACTTCTCTAACCAAGTCTGAAAACATTTTATCTGCCATACTGTATTTCTATATTGGAGAGCTGATTAACATCAGCCTGAGTTGTCCAGGATCAAGAGAGTGCTCACATCATGCCCAGAGGAAACATATTCAGGTCGATATCACTGCATGGATCCTCAAATCCAACAGAGACCAAAGTAAACTCCTGGGCCATCTTTCGGCAGATGTGGGCAGGCCTCATCGAGACCTTGTGTCTTGGCTGTCTAAAGACATCACTCAACTCTTGAGGAAGGCTAAGGAGAGTGAGGAGTTCCTCTTAGGATTTAACATAACCTCCAAAGGTCACCAGCCGCCAAAGGAGATGTTATCCTTTCCTGACCCTTATATCTTGGTGTATGCCAACGATGCTGCCATTTCTGAGCCGGAGAGTGTGGTATCAAGCTTACAAGGTCACCGAAGCTTTTCCGCCGGAGCTGTACCCAAATTGGATAGCCATATCAGGGCTGCCCTTTCTCTGAAACGGAGGAAGAAGCGTTCTACTGGGGTCCTGCTCCCTCTGCAGAACAATGAGCTTCCTGGGGCAGAATATCAGTATAAGGAGGATGGGGTCTGGGAGGAGAGAAAGCCATACAAGACCCTTCAGACTCAGCCCCCTGAGAAGAGTAAGAACAAGAAGAAACAGAGAAAGGGGCCTCACCAGAAGAGCCAGACACTCCAGTTTGATGAACAGACGCTGAAGAAGGCAAGAAGAAAGCAATGGATTGAACCTCGGAATTGTGCCAGGCGATACCTTAAGGTGGACTTTGCGGATATTGGCTGGAGTGAATGGATTATCTCCCCCAAGTCCTTTGATGCCTATTATTGCTCTGGAGCATGCCAGTTCCCCATGCCAAAGGTAGCCATTGTTCTTTGTCCTGTTCTTCCTGTTTCCATAGAGTCAGCAAGACACACCAACTAAGTTGTGTGTTTTCCTTTATATATCCACCTAGGTGCTTATTTATTGCATTCTAAAGTATAATAGGTAATTTGGTTATGCTTTGGTTTTCTTTAATGGTTGTTAAAGTAATAAGAAGTCAGTATTGGTACAAAGAAGGATATGAGAAAAAATATGTGTAAAATATGTATTTTTTGTGTGTGTGCGTGTATGTTGCTTCCAAACACTGTATATTTAGCTACATGGCCTATTCAGCTATGAGAATCTATACCTGCCTACAGTTAACAAATCCCAAATGGTAGAAGGCTGATCTTGGAAAGGGTATTCGAAAATGAGTGGCTGTCATGGGAACATAGGGAAGAACTAACTGGGTTGATGTCCTGATGCAGAATATTTTTTGATAAATAGTCTCTTCTGAGATGAATTGTCCCGATGGGGGTCAGGATCAGGGTTGGGCCAGGTAAACTCACCTCATGAAATCCACCATATGGTTATTGCATTTGCTTCCCTAATACACATCAAAAAGAAAGGAAGAATAAGATACAGTGACTCTGGGATCTTCTCCCAAGACTCATTTCAACCAATCAGAGTTTAACTGTGTCTGTTAATAAATCAATGGGGACTGTAGTTTTTCATATTAGTCTTCAGTATTCTGACAAATATATTTTCAGAAGCCTCCCCAGCCCCACCCTGCCCCCATCTTGCACACAAGTTCATGTGATTGTTATTTTTGAATTTATAGCCAGTAAAAAACAGTGATGCCCTCTGGCCTTCAGGTAAGCTTGTTGCACTTCCATTCTCAGCTTATCACAATTTGAATTTCTGTTTTACAATGGAAAGTAGTTCCAAGAATAGAATTCAGAAGAAGAATAGAAATGTTGTGTTTGTTTTTCAAAACTTGAAGTGAATCAACTTTCATTGTTGGATAAGAATGCAGAAAAAAAATCCTTTATCTCAAAGAATAACCAACTTCTGTTTATATACTCTTGAAGTAGCATGTTCATATGCCAGTCCTGTGATCATTGAGATGCTAAACCTACATTCACTCAAAGCAAAAGACCCACAGACTGAACGAAGGCATGTCAGCCTCAGGGTCAGGAACTTGATTGAAATTCCATTTTCAAGATAGAATGTGTCAGAAGGACAAGCTTACTACATCTTCTAAGACTTTCCCAAAGAAATTGTTTTTGCAGGTTCCATATTTTGTAAACCCAAACATAAAGTAAATATTATATATCTTTACAAGTATAGAAAAGCCTTATCTTCCCTAATATTCATAAAGGACGTTTCACTGATCAAACTAAAGTTGTTGGAATTGGAAAAGTATTTAAAACACACAATGAAAGTCCCAAATGTAGCAGGCAGCACTGAATATTCTACAGAGTGCTTTGCTCTGTGGTGTTGAGAGACGAAATGAATTCAAGATCTGTCTCTAAACCCAGGGCGACTGATTCTCAGAATAACCGCTCTCACTCTCATAGATGTGATTTCTCGGGTAACCTGGAAATGGAGTTTTCCTCTGCCCTCCTGACTCTGGGCTTCAGGGCCTAGGGAGCCATGATAATGTGGAGTCGGTTAACTTTTCAACCCCTAACTCTGGAGACCTGGCCTGGTCTCCATCCCCCCAAATTACCCCATTTCTTCTTGGCTTTGCCTGCTTTTAACTGTTCAAAAACTTTGCTATTGCTTCAGCAGAAGTTCTACCATGGTTCTCAGTGAATGGAAGGATAATAATTCAAACACTTATGAGGGCCAAGTTAAGCACAGCAGGGCCATGTTTAAGGAGAGAAGTATGTTAGTGCAGCAGAATGATTAAATGCGCATGCTTGGTCATTGTTGGGCTTTCTAACCTTCATGTGCCTGAAGCTCACCTGGGGATCATGTTAACATGCAGGACCTGTGCCAGTGGCTCTGGGTAGAGCCCAAGATTCTGCATTTCTAACAAGCTTGTAAGATGTTGCTAATGCTGATGGCCCAGAAGTCATGCTCTGAAAAGTAAATTTGAAAGTCAAATCCTTGGTTTCTCCCTCTTACCAGATGTGTTAGTATGTTAGTTTTCTCACTTGAGAAATGGATACAATAATAAATAATAATAACAATGATAATAATGGTATCTACTAATAAACGCCATGAAAAAAAGAGATGCTAGAGCACCTTGCACACAGTAGGCGCTTTCTGAATATTTGCTACTGATATTATTATTAATGGCCACTGCTGAGACTGAGAGGAACAGAAAATTACTGGTAGGGGCTGAAGAAAGACCCCACAGGGAAAGGGATCAAGAGAGTAAAAGATGTAAGACAAGGGAACGTTTTGTAAATGTTTCTAGTCCCTTTTTAAACACCACAAAGCCTAAAATAGGATCCTCTCTGTGGGTTCAACAGCCCGTGAGCTCTTCCAAGTAATGTTTCTTTGGAGAATAATAGAATCAGGAGAGCATCGATTGCAGCAACTGAACCCATCATAATATTTGTCAAAACTTGGAATGGCATCAGAACTCCAGGGAGACATAACAGGGATAAGTGTGGAGTTTTCTCCTTGAGCTCCAGCCTGCCTCTGCCAAGTGGAGAGTGGAAGTTTGGCTGTTACATGGAGTTCTCAGTCTCTCATCACCTAGCGCGGATCTGCTGAACTTGTAACGCGTTCTGGTGGCTCCCTTTAAGGCTTTGTGGCTTTCAAGCGGTACAGTCACCGAAAGGATGGGAAACATAAAGCAACGTGAAGCTGCCCCATTAGGGGTAGTTAATCAGCATCGCTGTTATCAGCACAGTGTCCAACACGGTCACCAGAGTGAGCTGTTTAAATAGAAATATAGTCTGAGCAACAGAGGAAAATGAGGCCTCTGACCAGATCAGTGCAAACACATGTGGAATGACTGAAGCGCCAAAAAACTTTCAGACTTCAGATATACATTTTGCCCCAGAGAAAAGTCCTCCCAGGCCAGCCTCCTCTGCTGGCCCTCCTTCTCTGTGCCTCCCGAGCGAGCGAAAGCCTGCTCTCTGCAGCGGGGCTCTGTGTCTGCAAAAGTCGACAACCTGTTCTGTAATTCAGAACAGCTGTGCTCTGCCTTTCCCAAATTCCAGGCTTTGCCCTTTCGCTGATTCCAATTAGATAGTTTCTGGGCTATCACACCCATGTGGGCTGGGCTGGAAGAGTGTGGAGCAAAGCCCCATGGCCCGGGTCAGGAATGAAGGCTCGTAGCTGATGACATACTCTCCCTGCTAATGCATTTATAATCAAATTCAACTCCAGGACATCATACACAGCTTGGCAGGTGCGAGCGGGCCTGACCGCTGCAGATTTCATTCACAGGCATGGCAGTTTGGATTTTTTCTGATTTCTAGCCCCTACAGCCAACCTGTTCTTCCAGGGAGAGGCCCCTGGAATTCTGCCATGAGATGAAAAATACCCGCGTAGCTAAAGCCAAGCCGTGTGCCTTTGCTTCTCTTCTCACCACCTTCCCAAAGATGGAAAACAGAGATCTCAGATGAAAATGATTGAACTGTTGTTGCTGACAGAGATCCCAGAGAACCAACAAGGGTTAGAGGAATGAAGCTATTTTTGCATGGAATGGTGCAAAAGCTAGGAATAGCAAAGACACAGAATTAGGCAGCAAGGAATTTAGCTACTTTGAACCAAACAGCCTATACACTATATAAAAAGAAAGAAAGACATTCACATTTAATGAATTCAAAATGACACACCATCAACTGATTTTCTGAGTTTTCCAATTCCAATCACTGCTCATAATTATGAATTCTAAAAATCCTAACTTTTGATGTATTGAGTTACCTAAGGAAGAAAAAAAAAAGAATCACCTAAATTGATGAAGTCATATTTCATCCTCATTAAATAGGGAGACTGGAGCTTGGCTGGTATGGATCAGCTGGTTGGAGTATCATCCTGTGCACCAAAAAGTGGCAGGATCAGTTCCCAGTCAGGCACACACCCACATTGCCAGTTCGATCCTGTATTAGAGGCAATCAGTTGATGTTTCTATCTCACATTAAAGCTTCTCTCTCTCTCTCTCTCTCTCTCTCTCTCTCTCTCTCTCTCTTCCTTCCTCTCTCTAAAAATCAAGTTAAAAGAGGGGGGAGGGAGATTGGGGAGGGAAATAACACTGATTTGCATTTGGGATTGATATATTTCCTCAACTACATAAGGAATTATGAGAAATATGAACAGAACTAAAAAACAAAAATGATAGAATGGCCATATGCTTCAGATGAGCAAATTATTGATAGATCTTTTTGGGGTGACATAATCATTCCAATGGAAGCTTGATAAGAGGATTCCACAGTGGGGGGGGGGGGGGAAGTAAACTCCCAGGAAAACTGAGTGGTTCCTGATAAGCCTAGGATCATGAGTTAGTGCTGAATTCTGTGAGCCCACCAAAGATTGCTCACTGTTTCTGAATCTATCTTTTGTGAGTTAGTTTTTAAAAGGATAGGAATGTTCCTAGGGAACACCCGTGAATATTTTCCATATCTACTTCGGGTCATTTGAACCTTTTGTTTTTGTTGTTGGGGAATATTTCCATAGAAATAGATAAAATGGAGGGCATGCTATTTCTTATAAGTTTTTCATTCACTTGGTAAGTAATTATTCAGCCTGAGCATGCCCAGTCCCAGGCACCAAGGAATAACATCCCACAAGGCCTCATCTGCTTAAGTAGATCCACTTTCTATGAAATGTAAATATTATAAAAGCCATTAAAACCCTTAATAATCACAGAATAATGTTGGGAAAACCTATCCATTAAAAAACTCTTCAGCGGCATTATCATAAGCTGTTTGGATTACTTGATGGGTAATAGAGCAATAGAGAAAAGTAAATGACTGCAAACATTTTCTTGGGGAATTACCAATACTGGTGAAATAAACAGTGGCCTATTGACCTCTATTGTACAATACCCACTGCAGCTTATGTCAGTTACACAGATTTTATTGATGTTGGAGAGCACATGACATGCCAAATAGAACATGAACTTCCTCTCTTTAAAGAGGAAATACCTTTCTGTGTAAAGCTAATTAATTGAAAGGTAGCCTTCTTTTTAACATATACTTAAAATATCTAGAGAGAGAGAGTAAGAAACAGTTGCCCATCAAGACTAATTTTTCTAAAAATGTATGCCTATTCACAATAAAGTTGAAGTCTAACGTATGGGTAATTGTTTTCATTAAAATTGAAAGATGGCATGAGACCAATCAGATGTCTTTCTTTGACAAAAGAATTACTTTAGAAAATATATGGTATGCCATCTTTCTATATGATTTATTTTTCTCTAGGCTTGTATATTTCCTTAACCTTTTAACTTTTTCCAGTTTCCCATACTGGGAGTTTTAGGAGCATGAAATTGAAAAATACCAATTCTTTGGGGGCATAGGTGCCTCTGAGCCATGAGAAACATGGTTCAAAAGCCTGAAATTAGGAAGCCAGAGTTTTGGCCTAAATCCTACTCTTGAATTCACAAGTGATCTCTGGCAAGTTACCAAATTTCTGTTTCAAAATGTGCTTAATACTATACTGGATTCACCTGCATATAAAAAGACATTGGGGAGAACTAACATTGAAAAGCGTGGCATTTCTCATGAAGTTCCCACCACTCTGGCAGTACTTAAACACCCAGGGCTTGGAAAAGTGACTGCCTCCCAGTACTAAGCAGAGCTGTATGGCACTCTCAAAACAAAACCACATGTTTCACATGGATGATAATGGTCTAACTTGGCATTTTCTCAGGAATAGATTTTACCCAGGCTTCTTTGGTAAAACTTCTGAAATCCATGGGAAAAACCATAGGTCCCCTAAATTATTCCCCTAGGATATGACCCACTCTTAAAACATTAACCCTACCACATGGAAGTGTGAACCCATGGAGCAACAGTGACCCCCAGTGGCCGATGGTGTGGTCTTCTTAACCCCAGCTTGTGCTTCTAAGGAGAGGTGAACAAGTCCATAGTGCAGTAATTTACATCTCGTTAATCCTGGTGGCAAATAAATCAATGTCCCCTGACACAGTTATTTTATTTTAACAACAAAGTCTAAATATCACTATAGTAGTAGCAATAATGCATCAATATTAAATAGGGTGCTTTTGGGGATCTTTAAGATTAGCATAAGATTTAGAACAAGTGGTTTTTGTTGCAAGCCCATTTTTGAAAACATCCCAGTATATATTAATTCCATTTGGGGACTAAGGTTTTTTTTTTTAATTAAATGATTCTTGCTTAGATAACTGGATTCAAATCCTCACTCTACCACTTACTATCTACTTGACTTTAGGCAAGTCAGTTAAGCTTCTTGAGTCTATTTCTTTACCTGTAAAATGTAAGAAATGTTAGCTTTGTTGTGGGAATAGAGATACTGCATATGACATGCCTGATACACAGCAGGCACTTAATCAATGATAAGCACTTTGGTTATGGTGGTGGAGACTGGCTGCATGAATAATGATGCCAGGGCTATATTAAATTGTCAGAAAGAAATTCATAATGTATGTATTTTAGGGATGAGAGGGGAGTGGAAAAACAGTTTTATTTAACTTGTGTGTTCTTTTCTCATTTATTTTCTAGTCTTTGAAGCCTTCCAACCATGCTACCATCCAGAGCATAGTGAGAGCTGTGGGAGTCGTTCCCGGAATACCTGAGCCTTGTTGCGTGCCAGAAAAGATGTCCTCGCTCAGCATCTTATTCTTTGATGAAAATAAGAACGTGGTACTTAAAGTATATCCTAACATGACAGTAGAGTCTTGTGCTTGCAGATAACCTGGCAAAGAACTCATTTGAATGCTTACATTCAATCAGTTTATTTTTATGGACTTTTTTTTTTTTTTTTGCACTGCCAACTCATTTAATTCTAAAAGGTTTATTAATCGTCAAAGGAGAATGAGCAAATAGACTGACAATTTCCACCCCAGAGAACTGTACTGTATTTGTTTCTGAGTGTAACTAAAAGCAAAAATTTAGGAAATATGGACATCTATTTCTTATTTTTAATCACATGAGAAAATTGATATTTCAAACTGTTTTTAGAAATGTTAGAGGAAATGGTGATTTATTTTTATAACGGGGCTTTGAAACTAGATTGAAAAAACAATGATAGCTTATCATTTATCTCTACTCATAGAGAATAAAATAATTTCGTATTTTGAAGTAGGCTTATCGCCTTACATTCCTGAGCAACTCAGTAAGTGCTAAATAATCCAGTCATCTTTGATGTTTATGGTAAGGATTTTTAAGACTCTTGTTTACCTGTGCTTTTCTGCACATGGCACCATGTGATGAGTTGTGTGTGTGCTGAGTGTTAGTGTATACGTGTGTGTGTGAGTGTTTGTGTGTGTGTGTGTGTGTGTGTGTGTGTGTGTGTGCCTATGCCCTCTGTGGGAAGGTTCGCCTAACATGGTTTTATAATTCAGTCTATACAGAATTCTTTGTGGGTATTTTTTTTTTAATGTTCTGGCAAGCACCATTCAATTATGAGAACTTTACCAAAAAAGGATAGACTGATCCAAGAGCATATGCAGAGAGTTACCCGTTGGCCCAGCCATTTAATTGGAAATACAGTTGTTTTCATTTCATTGCCTCCCAGAAAAGGAAAGCAGCAGCCTAATTTTCCAAAACCCAGATGTAATTCCTCTTCTATACCCCCTTTTCACAAGTGCTTTCCTTTGTTCTTTTAAATCGAATTCAAAAATCCTTCCTGAAGTCATTAATTTTTTTAGTTCTCTTGCTATGCTTTTACTTCCTATAAAGGAATCAATAGATACTGAGGCTCAAAAACTTATGGGATATTGAAGATTTCCTTAAGTGAACAACTTAATTGCAATCACACACTCATCACCATTCTTTGGCCTTATTCAGGTCCAGGCACTTTTTCACATGGGGCTTTTGACTCAGAAGTGGAAGTTATTCTTCAGCAAAAGTCACTAAAAATTATCCATCAAGAAAAGGTGTCAAATATATAAACACTTCCCCCCCCCCATTTCCATTTGTCAAAAACATTCCCCTTTACACTTTTGCCCTTGTCTATTCTCTCAAAAATCTTCCACTGGCTATATTTACAAATGTGAAGACATTCAGGAATGGTTACACACCATGGATTGTTGTTGATGTTTTTATCTGTGGCTGAATTAATGCTCATCGTAGTTCAATCTCACCTGAGGAGAGGCAGCTAAGCTATTTCAGAGGCTGTGAAGTATTAGAAGACAAGGAGTTCTGTTGTGTCTCTGACTATAGCTGTCTATGGTGGTTCATCGTTTAATCAGTGTTTACTAAGCATCTACTTTGTGAAAGACACTGTGTGAGCCATGTGTCTTTAGTGTCTCAAATGAAGAGGCTGCCCAGCTGAGCTGCAAAGCCCTTCTGGTACTGAAAAGTCAGGTTTATAATATTAGCTATTTCATTTAATGAATGACCATGAGATCTTAAAACACTGCAAATATCTCTGTTCATAAACCAGATGCAAAGCATTCTCTGCCTCCATGCTGGGAGGGTGGAATCCCCTGCATAAGTGATGCTTCTATCTTACTGGAAACCCGTTTAAAGAAGAGTACCATGGGAAGCAGCTCTCTGATACTTTGGGAAGTCACAGAGGCTGGTGCCCAGGTGTGTTAACTTCATGAGGGAGACACGCCAGTTCTAAATAATAAATTAGGTCCTGGTGCTTGAGTTACCATGTTTCTTACAGTTCATTTGTTTGTTCTGGTAGCATAACATTTAAAGACTTAAAATGAGCTTAGGTGATGAAATTCCCTTTTAAAAATTGTTATCAAAAAATTGAACGCAAAATTATATATAGAAGCATGTGGCCGCCTTATCCCTGCCACACCATTTTTCAATAAAGAAAACTTCTGTTTCATTGGTAGAGTTGATGAAGTTTTTAATTAGTTTTTTTTTTTCCTAGTAGTACTTCAACCAAACCTCTAGTAACTCCCAGTATTATGTCTCGGTCTTCTATCCAGATGTTTCTTTATTGCCTTTCTTAATTGGAATTGGTGCCTACTTACTACTAATGAAGCCCTAAAATGGCCAATTTATATGACAAATTGCAGCATAATGAGTTTGTATAGTCTCTTGGCAATCAAAATAGTTTTTGACTAGTAGTTATTTTTGGGTGGCCACGTAACCATCATTTTACTATTACATTGAGGACATATTGTGGTATCAACAGGAAATGTTTCAATCCCAAAGAATACAGGAAGATTACTTTCCAGTAGTGGGGGTTGAAATAAATGAGTTGATACTTTAATGAATAAAAATTTACTTGAAATAGTTTGAAAATTAAGTGATTATTTCACAATTGATTAGGTACTAGTGTTTGTGTAACTACTACATAGATTTTTTAAAATAAATTTCCAGATATAAAAGCGTGAGAGGTGAAAAGAGAAATTAAAGGTATAATGCCATTTCCTAAGCCATGCATCTGTCTCTCTCTACCCCTCTACCCCTCCTCTCACTCCCAATATCTGCTTGTCTCTGTCTGGTCCCTGCCTGTCTCTCTCTCTCAACTCCCAACCACCTCCACTTCTAGATGTGAGATACACAGGCACAAATACTCACTTAAAAATGATTTTTTCCCCATAATTCACTCTCTTGAATTCAAAGAGAGTGAATTCACAGGGGCTGCCAGTGTCAATATAGTATTTTCAATGTGCTTTTTTAAATCATAATCTGTGTAAGTAATATTATACAATTTCAGGATTTGGGGGTAATAGAATTAAAACTGGAAGATTGTGTTCCCCAGATCACAGAATTACAATATTCCAGATGCATTTTTACATTTACCTAGCTACTATTAACTGGTAATCATTTAATCAATAAGATTTTACCTTAATATTTCTGAAAAAAACCCTCTTCTTGCCCATTTAATATTTTTATGGACAATCATATTTGTATAATACCATTATCAGTTTGACAAAAATTTTATATAATCACATTATTCAGTTTAGTCTTTCTGCTTTCACTATTCTCTGTGCTAACAAGGAACTAATGCCTGGATGTTGACGTCTTGTTGAGTTAAAGAACAGCTATGCACACCTGATATGTAAGATTAAATATCAGATTAAATAATAAGTCTTGGGTAGGTCTGACTTCTCTGTGTAGCCTTTTTTCCCCTTGAGAATTGTATTTTAATGTAGTTTGTGCTAACTAAATGGTCTCCCTTTTCTAAAAACCAAGCCTTCCTCTCAGCTTTCCATTTATTTTCTGTAAATGTTTTAGTTGAGAATTTAATGCTTGTACAGTGAGTGGCAATTTAAAAAGTATATATTATATATGTATATGGAAAAACTTTAAAGATGCTTTTAATTTATTTAATGATTGTTGCCTTCCTATAATGGTAATAATTTTCATCCTTAGATGGTGAGAACAAGCTCTTTTACTCTAGTTATTACATGCAAAAGGAAATTTGTTTTTGTGGGGTTTTTTCACCAAATCCACTAAAGGGGCGCATTGCAGTGAAACTGTGAAGGACGCTTCACTACTGATGTATAAGCTTTGCTGATCTGTATCCTTTCCTCCAGTAATGGGGAGTTTTTTATTATACCGTATGAAAATAAAGACTGCTTAACTGAACATTTTCCCAGAGTTGAATATTCTTACATTCAAATGATATCATGAATGGAGTATCATGAATGGGTCATCATAATCTACTTTCAACATAACATGATTAACACTGTAGGATAACATTAAAATACACACATATGGGGAAAAACTTATGTCTTCCAAACTTCAGAAATCCAACTTTAATTTCTTCTCTCTCTCTCTCTCTCTCTCTCTCTCTCTCTCTCTCTCTCTCTCTCTCTCTCTTTCTCAGTATTTCTTTCTTGTTGAACCACAAACTCCACATTTCCTACTTGGAGATATTTTGTGTTTTGTTTTGTTTTCTGGATGCCTGACTCACTATTTTAAATATAACATTATTTAACCAGTAGTTGTTACTATTTTTTAAATGATAAGCCTTTAAATTTAATAAATATTATCATTGAGGTGTATTTGGCCTTTTTTTTGGCCTATGAACTTTCACTTTCAAAAAATGACCTGAGGTTAAAATGACCTGCTTTTATATTATTTTCACTCATTTAATCTATCCCTGTTAGATTTATTTATATTGTGGTGCTTAATTAAAAACCATCGCATTTAGGAACTACAAGGCACTTAAGAGATCATTTTGAGTATATTCCTTAACCTCTCCATGCCCCATTTATCTTGCCTGTAAATTGGGGCAATCAACTTCCTGCTTTATAGGCTGGTTACAAGGCTTAATAAAATAATCCATGTCAATTACTTTGCCAATTTCCTGAAACAGAGTAACAACTTCATTACCATCAATTATTATTAGTATCTAATCTAGTCTTTCTATTTTCCAAGCATAAGGGCATTTAGACATGCTGTGGTTTATTCCTATTTAAATGTCTACACATCATCAAATCCTCCTCTAAAAACTGGCTCCAACAGAGATGGGTTCCTTCACACAGAACAGTGATGAGCATCTGACAGAAGCTGGCAAAGCTGGGAGGTTACTCAGCAGCAAAGCTGGGTGAGGCTGTAACTACTCTCCACCAGGCATGTAAAAAAGTTTTAAAGCCCAGAGTTCAGAGAGAGAAGAATGAATCAGACACCATAGAACTGGGCCTTACAAAGTAAGAGGAACTGCCCTGATTCCTGAAAGTATTTCAGTTTCTGTTTCTGAGTTTTGAAAGAGAATAAAGAACCATCAATAGAAGGTGAAACAGGATGTGTTTTCTACTACTCTTCCCTCTAGCAAG